GGACCAGTCTTTCGAGCTCAGCAGTGCGCCGCGGGAGCGATAACCCCAGGGCGAGCCGCGTGGAGAGTAATTCCGACAATACGGACGCGTTTAGCAAGCTGAAAAGCAAACTGAAGCCTGGAGCTCAAAACGCTCCTGTGTCTGCTCCGTCAGCATCAACGAATAGTCCAGTGAATCCCCCATCCAATTCCACAGCTGCCCAACGAGAACAAGATATCCCAGCGCTGCGTTTGATCGTCCAGAAGACGAGTGCGATATTCGAGTGTCTGCGCTTTTGGATCATGCACCGGACCGAGGTGCTTCAAGATGTGGACGTGAAGAAGCTCATTTTCAGTGCCATCGAAGCGGCGTTGGTAGGTACACTGCCTGATGGGGAGTGGCAGCGTGAAGTTGAACGTGCGCGTACTCTTGAAAGACGCATGTCAATGCCGCTGCTGTTCTTGGGGTTGCAGATGCGCGCGTCACTGGACAATGAGCCGGGTCATGTATGGCTGAAATGCTTCGAGGAGACTGCAGTGGCTGCCGAGGGATTGTTGATGCACTTGCTTCACCATATTAACGGGTTTCCGTCACCTGCAGGAGTCGATCAGATGATATCAGATTGCTCCGAGTTGAATGAGCTGGATGCTGCATGCGATAGAGGTGACAAGGACTCGCCGCCTGCGGCTCTGAGTTTTGTATTCATGGATTCGATCGTGTTCAGTGTCGTGGGCAGTCTCGATTCGCCGTGTGCGCGGTTTATTGTTCGAGACATGACTGGTCTTTTCACATGGGAGATCACACCAGCCGTTATGACTCGCGGTGGCCACTCGCTGGTAGGAGCAGGCTCCAGGTCACCCGGTAATGTCAACGGGGATAGTGCCTCCGTGGAAAGAGAGCTGACGCTGCAGACCGATACACTCACTTCCGAGTCATTAACACTGCACCGACCAACGGGTGCAGTACAAGTGGAGTTTAAACAGACGGACGAAGCTGGGGGTACTTGCAAAACCTGTGACGGAGAGAAACCTCGGACGAAGTCTGCCTCGTCTGACGCGAAGAATGGACGTAGCTCTGGTACCAAGCTCGAGGCTCGCCAGGTCTCTTGGGAACACGAGCAGAACATCCTTTCTAATAACGTGTGTCCTATAAAGAGCAGCTATGTTTTCCATGAAGATGGAAGTGCTTCCTCTGGCAGCAAAGAGAACGGAGATGCAAAGAAAAAGGAGAAAGCACGATCGTCGGAGATTGACAAAATGCCGGGAAGTGGGAACAAAGATGACCGTCAGGAGCGACTTGAGCGCATCGCGAAGCAGCACGAAGAGCGCAATAACACCGGAGCGGCAGCACAACCTACGCCAGAACCCTCAAAGGAGGTCTGCCAGTGTCCACCGCAAACTGAGTCCAAGTTCAAGCGTCGCACGACAACTACGATCTGTGGTCTCTTCGACATGTCGATCAACGAGCCGAATGTGGGCAGCTTGGATGACGAGCGCTGCCTTCTGGATCTGGTGCTGGACAGCATTCCGATGGTGTTCCGTGATTGCGGTGGCGATACGACTGACAAGACGCTCTTGGGTGGGCGTTATTCGATGATGCGCTACAACCTGATGGACTTGACGCCTTCGACAAATCCTCTTCTGATGGACTCAGCTGAAGCGCCTGGGTTTTCGTTTTTGCAACGCCTCATTCACGATGAAGAGTGCTACGCACAGCTGAAGAGTTTTCTGACCAGAGATGAACATCCCGAAGGCAAGGAGCTGGTGGACTTCTGTGACGCCGTGAAGAAGTACGAGCGCTCATCAGCCCCAACGGACCGTCTCGGTCAGGCCAGTGTCATCTATTGGGAGTTCCTGACACCAGAAGGAGGAAAGAAGCTCACATTCCCTCCTGCTGTCGTGTCTGATGTCCAGACTCAAATTCACAGGGCACAAAGTGCTCTGCGAGACGCTAGAGCTGCAACCGGAGAGGACTCGTCTGAGCTGTCATTCTCTCTCCCAGGCTCGCTATTCCAGCACGCTATGACGTTTGTAGAGTACGAAGGGTTCGAGAAGTCAGGACTATTGGACAAGTATGTGGCCGCGTTGGATCAACCACCTGCAGCTTCAACGACAGGAAGCAAAAGCAGCTCCAGTACACCGTCGATCCCACCCCAGCTGGCACTTTTCGACTCGTTCTCGATCATGGAAGTCAATGCGCGCGTATCACATTTGGCTCTACACAAGCGGAGCTTAGATGAACAGCTCGTGCGCATGACGAAACCAGGCGTGGCAGGAGGAACCCGTTCGACTGAAGTGTCCAATGGCAGTCTAAAGGATAGCCGTGTGAGCGCATTAGATATCTGCCGACTGTTCTTGTCCCAGGCTGGATTGTTACCATCTCCTGATGGCGATTCCAACAAGAAGTCAACGCTGAAGTTGCTTGAGCATGGATCGAAGTTGGAGCGATCCCTGAAGCACTTGGACAAGAGTCCGACGCGAGAAACCATGAAGATTGGAGTGATTTACGTGGGCAAGAAGCAACACTCACAGCAAGAAATACTTCATAACGAGAAGGGTGGCCGAGCTTACGAATTGTTCCTGGCACAGCTGGGCTGGAAGGTGAACATGCAGACTCACCGTGGTTTTGTCGGTGGCTTAGACACAAACCCGAAGAGTCTGTCCAATGGCGAATCGACGCTGTATTACGCGAGCTCTCACAGCGAAGTGATCTACCACGTGGTTACCATGATGCCCACCAAACCTTCAGACCCTCAGCAGATTGATAAGAAGCGGCATGTGGGTAACGACTACGTGCATATCGTCTGGAGCGACAATGCGACCCAGAACTACGACCCATCGACTATCACAAGTCACTTCAACGACGTACAGATCGTGATTTATCCTTTACGAAAGGCTCAGCGTGGCCTGTTCCTGATCAAGATCCATACCAAGGAAAAGGTTCCCCCCTTCGGACCGCTGCAGTCAGGCATGGTGGTTCACCAGGTCGACCTTGCACGGCTTGTGCGCCAGACGGCTATGAACGCGAACCGAGTGTGTCGCTCTCAGGTACGACCACTTATCGTGGTGCTTGTTCTCTGTAGATTAATTCTCTAACGTTTTTCTGTCTTTGACTATTTCTAGACGATGTTGTATGTCCGGCCGTACCCGACACGGAAGAAACTCGTAGACGAAATTGTTGAGCGATATGCTGTTGAGTACAAAGAGAGCCAGCTACTAACGATGCTGTTCGGCAACTCTGCATCGACCCCTGCAGCAGCGACATCGTCGGGTGGAGCTGAATAAATGATGGACTGCTCGGCATGGACACTGTAGTAGATCGAGCGGTTGTTAACACTTGTGTGGAATTATTTGTTTTTATGCTTCTGTCGGTCTTGAAGTCGCGCTACTCACAAATGATGGCTTCAGGAATCCCCCCAACCAATAGTATTATTTATTAATAGTTATGAAAGCCACTGGCGCTAGCGCTGGCTACGCGAAAATGTCGATAATTTCATTTTTCATTTGGAAGTCAATGAAGCGTGAGCGTGACGTAGGAACTTGTGAAGCAGAGGCTTGGACTATCCTGGTACACTGGCCAGTCCTTCGCAAGTCAAATTTAAAACCGCATCAAGGTTTTTTCCTGTGAACACTTTCGATGACTCCGTCCTAAGCAGGTGGCAGATCGTCTTATAACGATCTTTATGGGAACTTCGCAATGGACTCATTTGTTGCACTGGGGCCGATTCTTACGGTACCGTATACCTGGTAATTATTTGTAAAGAGTGGGTTTGGTCAGAAAAATAATGAAATCATAAACCGACCCCCTTGTCGCACCTGCTTGACATCGCTTGCCGTTCATCATATCCAATTTAAAGAACTCCTTACAAAAACCAAGATCTCGTGTGAAGTGGCTCGCCAGGCTTACTAAAACCAAGATGTCGTGTGGGCACATGCCAAACATAATATCTTTGGACCGTTTTGGACAAAAATACCAATACGAAAACCCTCTCTTCCTCCTGCTGGATACAAAGGAAGCGTATTAGATAATCGTGCTACCTCAAAATGTTTAATACAGTAAACAGAATCGTGCGACCGCCCGGAACTTTACCTTCAAAGCTGCTGTTTTAACGTGGATGGGGGTTTATTTATAAAAGTTAGCTCCATCAGGCTTCATTGAAGTGTCAATGCGTAATGGTGGGCGACTTAATCGGCCCTTTCAAGGTCGGATGATAATTGAGCATTTGGCTACGGCTTAGCGCGCTCGAAGCTGTAATCGCATTGCCAATACACGCTATCTTTCGCTCGCTTTCTTATAACAAGAGTGCTCTTACTAAATGCACTAAGAGACTTTTAGTGGAGCAAGTAGGAGAGAAATGATGTTGTCCATAGACGACATTACCGGTCACGCGATAAACGCTATAGCAGGGCATGGGAAAAATAATAATATATCATTATTATGGGTATTATATTTACGGAATAGCTGATTATTGCTTAGGGGTGTATTGGAATTATTAGAGAGATTTCGAAACCAGCAATTCTTGGTCCGTTCTCGGTTGACGTTCATGAAAAGTGCAGCATCGAGCACGAACCAGGAGTTGTTGTCAAGACAGTCTTAGGAATCTGGTTTTCTTAGGAATGTCCTGTCCGGTTGGAGACCTCTCACAATTAATCTTTCACAGCCACCACCAGTATGGTGTCGTCGGACTGCGTTGCTGCAGTAGTACATCGCCAAGAACAAGTACATGAGCCGCAAGAAGAAGCTTCGCTTCATGTTGCTGCTCGACCAAGTTGAGCGGCCTTCGATTCCTGCTGTGACGTTTGACCTCGCTAGCTACACCGATGCAAACAGCGAGCTTGAGTTTCGCTTCGATGTGGCTGGCGTCTACGAGCTACGGTCTCTGCTGCGCATCCCTGACACTGTAGTGACGGCACATGGCGACACTTGCTCCGGTGACACTGCCCTCTGCGTGATGCTAGCTCGCTTAGCGTTTCCAACGCGCTACTACGACATGATGAAGACGTTTGGAAGGGGTACAGCGTGGTTGTGTCGTGTATTCTTGCACATGATCGACTACGTGCACGACACGTTTGCGGACAAGCTGTTCATGGCTGAATCGATCGTTAGCGCCCGCATGGAGGCGTATTGCGAAGCCGTCGAGGCGAAAGGGGCTCCGACAGAGGGCGTATTTGGGTTCCCCGACGGCACCAAGGTGGTGGTTTGTCGTCCTTCACCTCGCCTTCATGGTGAAAGAGGTGAGAACCTGCAGAAGCATCTGTACAGCGGGCACAAGCGCATTCACTGCCTGAACTACCAAGCCGTGAAGGCACCTGACGGGCTTTGTATCCATTTCTGGGGTCCCATGGAGGGACGCCGCCACGACAGCACCATGCTGCGGGAAAGTGGTCTTCTAGAGTACTTTGATGAACACCAATACACGTTTGAGGGGAAGTTCCTTTATGGTGACTCTGCGTATGGAACGCGTAAGTACATCGTCAGTGGATATAAAGGAAATTCTGTAAGTGCCGACGAAAGTGACTTCAACAGCGAGATGAGTCGTCTTCGTGAATCGGTGGAATGGAATTTCAAGTGTATGATTACTCTGTGGTCGTACGTCGACTACAATAAACAGCAAAAGGTTCGCTTGTCACCAGTTGGTACGTTTGTTAAAGTTGCTATGCTCCTAACGAACTGCCACAACTGCTACTACGGAGGCAACCAAATCAGCCAGTACTTTGATCTGCCACCACCCAGCTTACAGGATTATCTAGGCTAGAAGGTGAACTTCCTGCGCTCGGTCAAGCACCACCTTCAAGACCCAAGACACCATCGCTCACTCCAACCCCTGCATCTTCGCCCACGTCACCGACCTCTCCAACAATTCCATCGAGCGCCGTTCCACCACGCGCCTTGAGCAGAGCTAGCTTTAGCAGGTTTTTGTAGCGTTCGTTTTCTAATCGAGCAAGACGAAGCTTAAATTCTCGCTCCTCTTTCCGGTCCTGAAGCTCCATTTCCTTCTGCTTTCGCTGCAACTCTTGCTTCTGCTGAAATTGCTCAGCTCGCATTTGGCGCTCTTTTTCGTTGTCCTCACGCATCAGGTCGTAGATGGTTACCTTGCGCGGCGACGGCTTCTCAGACTCGCTCTCTTCACCTCTGTTCTTCCGCTTCTTCAGGCGCGATACAGCTTCCTCCCGCATTAGCTTACCAGCGTTATCTTCTGACTCGAGCTTTTCCTTCAACTCCAGAGCCCGCTGCGCCTCTACTCTAGCATGCTCATCTACAGCCAGCACTATCTCGTCCAGAAGCTGCTGCGACTCCGTGTAATCCTCTGAGACTCCCTAAGCTGCCGCCGACTTTTTGTCGGCTTCTCGATAGTTTTCCACCAGTACATTGAACCGTGCCTGTGCCGACTTGCCAGTAATCTCCTGCTTGGGAAAACCCCTGCACGACTTCACCTTGTTGGCGAGAGACGTCCACGCATCCATAAGGCTGCCTCGAACACTAGCAAAAGGCTGGTCTGCGCTAACTTGCCGGAGTAGTACTAGGTCGTCGTGCTTGCTGAATTTCTTCCTTTTTGTCCTCGATTTCGAGGAGGACACTGTTGTCGTGGCTGTTGAAGGTGCCTCAGTCGACTGGGCACTCTCCTTTGGAGGTTTACGAGATGTTGGCATCTTGGTGGGCTGGAGATCAAAAGCGAATGCTTCGAGCAGAACAACAGAGCTCGTGAAGGAGCACCACTCGTCATGGTTGGTGCCGGTTAGCTGCTTTGGAACGGCGAAGATTACCTCAATTAGTTAATGCTCGAAGGCTTTTCGCAGAGTGGACTGAGATTTGTAGCGAAACCTCTTGCTTCGCATTCCTAGTCTTGGTCCATTCCCGTTTTACGAACGCTCTCTTCGAAATCTCTCTATTAGTACTGCAAATTTAAAAAAAGAAATAAATCTAGATTTAACAGACTTACAAAAATCAAGGTAAACATATTTTAATTGCATAATAACAGTATTTTTTGTACGGAATTATTTATTATTGAAATCAGTTTATTATAATCTTTATTATCGAGCGAAGTTTTCAGCAGTATAATCAAAGATTTAATTTCCTATGCCCTGCGCTATAGTACAAAAAAATGCCTATATAAATGTAAAGCAGGTTGATAATCCTGACTTGAATTACGAAAATTCTATCTACAGCTCCGCATCGTTCAGCATTTGAACCCCGACTAACCTACCTCACTCATTCCTGGCCAGCGTACGAATCAACGCCAGGAGTCAGCAGTGGCCCAGCATCACTTGATCTGACGGTTAATGGTCGATTTTGACTTTTAATAGTGTTGTCTAAAAATATCCAAGCCCCTGGTTTTAAGCAGCCTCACTGTATCGTTTCTCCATAGAGAATTTTAGTGGCGATTTGTCTATTGTATTGTATTCTACAAATCAAGAAATCTTGCGAGCTCTCATGAAAAGATGAAACTGCTACGATACGCGTGCAAACATTGCCCATATGATAAAGGACATTATATGACATTTTAAATTGCATGAACAAAGGTATAGCTAGTACGATATCTTTTTTTGAAAAAAAAAGATATCGTACTAGTTTTACTGGCACATAAAGAAAAAAGGTATTTCACTGTCACCGTTGATTAATTTTCCTTTCAACTTGTAAAAGGAATTACCGGTAGTGCCCTATTTCGAAACAGTGACAGTGTTAGAAATGTCGGGTGATGCGCCAGCTTTGGTTAGCAAAGGGGAAGATAATTTTACTGTCCAACTGTGACTGAAACTGTCGTGGGCTGACCCGATAACAAAATGGATGAGACTGTTATCACGGAGGGCCAACCAATTGACGAGGTGTTTCCTAAGGCTTTGCGCTTAGTCGTGGTGGTGGCTCGCAGATCCCAGGACAAGCGAGCTAGGACATCAGTAGTGGGCACCTCGCGCTTCATCAATCTGAGAATCACGAGCCGAGCCTTCAAGGATTTAGAGCAAGCGTCGTCCTTTTCCATAATGCGCGGGGTGGAGGATGTGGTCGTATCACTGATCTGACTCATAGGTGGGAGTATATGAACAAGTGAAGGACGCCACTTGAAATGAGATCTTTCACAAGAAGTGTGTGCTCCAAAGGGCAGTCAAGAAATTGATGATTTCAGTATTTCCTTCGCCGTGGACAGCTTCAAGTTAACGTTACAGTACTGTATGATACAGTGAATCCCTCCTGCAGCAGACAGGGCCTCAAGTCCCGGTACCGGTACATGTACACACCCAATTCGATTTGGAGAGGGACCGCCTCGTATCGAAGGTAATTGGATTGA